CAACCCCCACCGCACATATACGAATCAACGGTGCACTCATGGCCCTGTTTCCTATATTCTCCTGCTACCCTCTCTCTAGAGCAATTCCTGGAAGTGGTCAGATAGGATGGAGGCATCACGGGGCTCACCCTAGGATGCCGGTTATTCCGCGTTGTGGCTTTCTTTGACGGCATGCTATTTTTCCTTGAACAGCCCCAGAATTCATAGTCCAAACTGTCCAACCTCCTAGAAGACTTTAAATGATTTGGAGCAAAAAAGGAGGAAAAATGTGCCCTGACATGGATAACCTATATCTCTGGAGTAGGCAGAGGGATGACTGTACCCACGACTTCTAACGACACTTGGATTGGAAGATCTCTAACACAGACGCAACATAAACTCAATCGACTTATCAACTCAACACGGGGCAGGGGTTTTGGTAAGGTTTTTTTTTTTGTTTGTTTGTTTTTTCTCCTCTTTCTCTTCCCTCCTCCCTTTGTATTGTCTTTGTAGGGTCTCTTTATTTCCTACCCACCTCCCCCATTCCCTGCATGGTCCAACTTTAGACCAGTAGTGTCACGGCTGCTAGTGTGGTCCAACACGCAGAAACTATGTAAACATATACATAAAAAAGGAAGGAAATAAAAGGGCAGAGCATAAACCGGACGTTAGAATGGCCAGACTAATACGCTAGAGATAGAGAATGGTCAAAGGGAAAGCCGAGGTCAAGGAAGCCAGAAATACTCAGATACCATTTAAACAAGCCAAGTTAGGGGAACCAGAATTCGGAATAACCAGGGAAAAGCCAAGATCAGGATACCAGGAAGTCAGATTCATAAAGATAAACACACTCTCAGGAACCAGGAACAGGAAACCACGACAGGGCAAGGAACTGGAGTGAATTAGGGATTTAAATATCCCTCTCTGGGCTCTGACGTCGTGACGTTACGCGCATGTCCGTAAAATTTGAGAGGTGGAGCTTGTGGCATGCGCGACCACGTGCTCAGCACCATCTTTGATTTGGGCGCAACACCCAGAGGACGCGGATAAGCTCGCAATATCAGCGAGGTCGTGCCAGTCGGGCACGGCTGCGCCATGCGGAGGGCCAGAAGCCGCAACAAGTAGAAACGTGACATAGACGAAAGATGAGCAGCCCTGATAAGGGCCCTACATCTAACGCAACATATGAATCAACCCACAACACTGACGGTGGAAATGCTAGACATGGATATACTAGCCAAGGAAAAGATAACTCACTTCATATTGGCTATTTGGGGATACACACGGGTAAAAGCCACACTCTTAGAAACTAGGCTAAATACGCTCCCCAATCGTAAAATGTACTAATGTCACCAATGCACCTGAACTGCAAGTTTACACTGATATTGACTCTGCTATGTCTTGACTCCATGTTTGTTTCACCACTTACCTTTATTGAAAATCAAAAATAAAGATTGTCAAAAAAAGATACAATTCTTTATGTTGTAATGAATCTATATTGATAAGTCTTATGATATACTAAAAACACCAAACTACTGCCCAATCCATAGGCACCATGGTATAAAACCATGAAGAGGAATGAGCAACTGTTGGGGAGAATATCTGAACTTACAGACACATCCTCACAAACTTCTGTTTTTGGTTTGTTGATTGTATTTTCTCTTCCTTCAACTCTTACTATAAATTCAGACAATTCCAGGAGGACAAATGCCACAATTTGTCAGCTTTTGTTTGTCACTAAATTCATATGCCCTTCCCTGCACCTGGGGGTATTTCTTTTATTTTTTTTCTCCTGCAAATACGCTTCACATTGCAGCCTTACTTATATATCATTCTGAGTCCTTCAGTAGAAAAAAAAAAATCAATTTGACTTTGGCAGTTGTTTCTGAAACGTCTGCCAATCACACAGTATTCTAGCTATTTTTAAGTCTCCTGAAATCAGTCTGCATTAGGGCAAATAGCTATACTTGGAAAGGAGCCCAGGACTCTATCAATATAAAATGATTTGTTGCAAGTTTAAAGATGTTTCATGTCCCGGCTCTGTCTTTTCATTTACATTTTAAACCCTCATCAAAATGTGGTTCAACGATGCTGTCTTTAAAGAACCCTTTTGTGTGTTACACGGAACACCTAACACCAGTGATCAAGGGATTGTGTTACAACAACGGCTTTGCTATAACAATCTGCAATCCTTAAAGTGGAATGGAATAATTCAGCTAGCATCCTTTCTTTGGTACTGGGTAATACCTAGTCATTGCTGTTATATGGAGAAAGGTTTATGGTTCAGATAATTTTCTATTCAAGAAGATAGAAGTTTCTATTGTTCCTCACCTCTGGCCTTACAATATGTCTCCCTTTCTTCTTTTTTAATTTTTCCCTTGTCTTTACCTTAAATGTTTTTCATCTATCTACATGCTCTCTTAAACCTCTTCTGTCACTTTCCTATATTATCGGTAACTATGTCATTTTTCATAAATGATCAGTTTAATTAATCCAAGTATATAGTCTTCTGTTTGCAGTGGCGAGTGTCTTTAAAATGGCCCATTCTCTACACTGTGAATACTGTACCATGGAGTTCTTCCTTTGGTCCAATCCAGCACTGATACCAGTTAAGAAAATATACCGGCCATCATATTATCATTAGATTTTAATCTCTTTTTCAACAGCAGCTCAGTTAAATATAGATATGGGGTAATCTTGGCCATGTTTCCCCCCAAGATCAAATGACTAACCTGATCTCTAAAGGCTTACCATATGCTCCCACAAGCTTCCCAGAAACACATTTAAAGTGGTAGTAATAAATACATTTAGAGAAAGAGAGGCAGCAATAATATCTAGGCATGGAGGAGGTTAGAACTAAAACAAGTGGGAGTATCTTTTTTGGGTAGTTTTTGTTTCAGTCTCACCAAACTAATACAAGCGACTGCTTGAAAAAAAAACAAAAAAAAAAAACAGTCTTGTAAGTATTGAACATAATGATAAAATTACTGAACTGTTTTTCAATTTACTCGGCAGTTGGAACTCAATTGCAGTGATTTTCTATACCAAGTCAAAAATCCAGCAGTGAATGAAAAATCTAGCCCAGTGGGCCTCAGGAATCCTGATTGGTAATCGGCAAGTCTCCAGAGGTAGCTGCAGCTGATAGTGAAAAAGATGTAATCTAGAGCATTTTAATATAGGATAAGAGATTGCTGTGCTTTACCCGCACTGATGCTGGAGCGGTTTGGAGAATGTTATAAAAGCTAGGCAAGAAAGATTAATAAGGTCTGTGAGAACACAGGGTCATCACCAGTGCAAAGATATAATTTTTCAGTGTATTGGGAGATCACATTGAAAATGCACTGCATGATGAAAATATATTGTGACTATGGATACAGTGTATCTTTGGGATATTAAATCCCAACCGCAGGTCATTACTCAGCAAAAGGGTATTAATACAGCAATGATGTATATATGGCTAGTAATCAACAACTGTGTGTTTTTACAATCTCGCAGGTTTTCTTATGACCCACTCACCCTTTTACGCATTTAGTTGACTGCATTAAAATAATGGAAATTCTCTAATCAGACATGATAAGTTATGTAGGGATTTTATTTTTTTACAGAATGGAACATAGTGACTAATTCTGTGTTTTACTACGATATGCATTTAGCCCAATGTAGTAAAGTGTGACATGATTTCAAAGTTCTGAATGGATCAAAGAATAACTGAAAATTAGCAGTTCAAATCTGAGTTGGTCATGTGATAAATGCTAAGTACATTAAGAATGCTCCCACCGACTGATGTAACGATGTAGAACCATGGTGGTGCCTTCATAAATTAGATGCTTGCTGGAGATAAAATGTCTACCTATAGAATCACAAAATCATTATCAAATAGAGAGAGCATGGGCAGCAAAATACAGTTGTCATTATTGTCATGCAGTTATTAATTGTTATATGCAACTGAAAGTTCCTTTAAAAAGGAAAAAAAGAATTCAGAGATTTTGATCAAAATCTAAATTTATAAGATCCATGCGAACAAGGGTACACCTTTACACCAAAAAAGAAGATATTCTTAGGGAGAACAGGTAAAACAGTATAATTGATCTGTGACAAATTATAATTGTTCATGAACATAACTTACCTGTTAAGGTTGTTAGCAGGACGAGTGGCCAATATAGCACTAAGGATTCTTGCTTACTAAGGATTACGCTATGCAACAGATTAGCATAAAGATATCCATTATTTTACAGCCTCTTCCAGCTGCCAGGCTTGGATAGCAGCATAAGGTAAGAATCTGAAAATAAAAATAGAAAGGACACAGAGAGGACCCAATATTGACACACAAAAATAAAAAAGGAACATAAGATGCAAAGAATTCTGAAGAAGAAAAAGAAAACATAAGGGACAATAAGTATGAACAATAAATTACATAAGAACGAAGGGAGTGGAAAAAAAATAGGAAATGGAGGGAGTAGAATATTAAAGCTAACATGAGGAGGTGCTTTCAGCTCTTTGGCAAGCTTTAGTGCAGGCTTCCCCAATCTCCGGCCCTCGAGATGTTGCTGAACTACAATTCCCATTATTCTCAGCCTATTTCATTCATAGAATCATGGGAGTTGTAGTTCAGCAACATCTGGAGGGCCGGAGTTTGGGGAAGCCTGCTTTAGTATATACAGAAAGTGGCGGCTGCAAACTTAAGGTAAGAAGACAAGCCGTTCTACAATGGTTTTTGCTGCTTACAAACACTGATCAGCTACAACATTAAAACCACCTACCTAATATAATGTAGATCGCCCTCATACTGCCAAAACAGCTTTGATGCATTAAGGCATGGACTCCACAAAACCCACTGAACACGTCCTGTGGTATCTGGCACCAAGACATTAGCAGCAGATGTATTAAGTCCTGCTAGTTGCAAGGTTTGGCCTCCATAGATCAGATTTGTTGTTTCAGCAAATTCCACAGATGCTAAATTGGATTGAGATCTTGGGAATTTGGAGGCAAAGGCAACACATTAAACTCTTTGTCATGTCTCTCAAATTCTTACTGAACTATTTTTTTCAGCGTGGCTGGCTTCATTAGAAGAAGGCTGAAACTATTGTCCAGGGTTTTTGTATTGCTTGAATTTTAGTTCTGGACTCCCCTTATTGGTGGGATCAGTCTGATATGCAAATGGTACAGGTTCTCTTTGTAATGGCACAAATTAGCAAAAACATTTTTGAGACCGGAGTGTCAGGAATGACACAGGGATCCAATACGCAGAATGCAAAATAGGAGATTGTATACCGGGCCTTAGAATACCCGGACTAGAATACAAACGTGTTTCGTCCAATGTAGGGACTTCCTACAGATCCCTGAGTAAGTCCCTACATTGAACGAAACACATTGGACTATATATTTGGACTACCAATGGACTTTTATTTTGTTTGTTTTATTTTGTTTGGTTTTAATCACTTCCTGCTGGCTTTGTGAAGACTACTTTTGCTGCATTTGGTTCCACATTGTGTGGATACATGCCCAGATTGTCTGCCTGCTTGTAAGTGCAATCTTAATACATTTTCCTGTGACTTTATGTACTTCACCATGTATGGCTCTCTTTCCTTCATCTATTTAAGGAGTCTGCATGGCTGTCATCCCAGAAGGAAGCATCTTCTAAAGAAGATTCACAAGAAAGCCCGCAAACAGTTTGCTGAAGACAAGCAGACTAAGGACATGGATTACTGGGACCATTGCCTCTGGACCAATAAAACCAAGATAAACTTATTTGGTTCAGATGGTGTCAAGTGTGTGTGGTGGCAACCAGGTGAGGAGTACAAAGACAAGTGTGTCTTGCCTACAGTCAAGCATGGTGGTGGGAGTGTCATGGTCTGGGCCTGCATGAGTGCTGCTGGCACTGGGGAGCTACAGTTTATTGAGGGAACCATGAATGCCAACATGTACTGTGACATACTGAAGCAGAGCATGATCCCCCCCACCCCTTCGGATACTGGGCCACAGGGCAGTATTCCAATATGATAATGACCCCAAACATACCTCCAAGATGACCACTCAGGTCCACCATCAGAAATTTTGGGGCCCCTGACATAGCACAAGGTCTGTGCCCCTCCCCCCCAATCCCCCATTCCCGGGCCCGCCCACGCCCTTCCTAGTCCACTGACAATGATGCAGTACTGAATGTGGTGTGTATAGTGGAAGTGAATTAGAATGTGTGCAATGGATGTAGTGTTTGTGTGTATTAGATACTGTTTGTGCAGTGAATGCAGAGTGTGTGTTTGTGTAGCGGATGCAGTGTGTATAGTGAACACAGAGTATGTTTGAGTACGGGATGTAGTGTGTGTACAGTGATGTAGTGTGTGTTTGTGTAGTGGATGTAGTGTTTGTATGTACTAGATGAAATATGTTTAGTGGATGCAGTGTCTGTAGTGGATGTAGTGTGTGTATTATATGCAGTGTCTGTGTATAGTGAATGCAGAGTGTTTCAATTTGTGGTGGATGTAGTGTGTGTACTGTGAATACAGGATGTTTGTGTAGTGGATGCTGTGTGTACAGTTAATGCAGAGCGTATGTTAGCGTATGTTAGTGTAGTGCATGCCGAGTGTGTGTCAGTATAGTGAATCCAGAGTGTGTGCATAGTTTAGTGAATACAGAGTGTGTGTTAGTGTGTAATGAATGCCGAGTAGTGTGTGTTAGTGTGTAGTGAATGAGGAGTGTGTCAGTGTAATGAATGTAGTGTGTGTGTTAGTGCAGTGAATGCAGAGTGTGTGTAAATGTGTAGTGAATGTAGAGTGTGTGTTAATGTGTAGTGAATGCAGAGAGTGTGTTAGTGTGTAGTGGATGCAGAATGTGTTAATGTGTAGTGAATGCAGAGAGTGTGTTAGTGTGTAGCAGATGCAGAGTGTGTGTTAGTGTAACGTGTAGTGAATGCAGAGAGTGTCTTAATGTGTAGCGAATGTAAAGTGTGTGTCAGTGTAGTGTATGCAGTGAGTGTGTTAGTGTGTAGTGTATGCAGAGTGTATGTTGTATTAGTGTATGCAGTGTGTGTTGTATTAGTGTACGCAGTGTGTGTGTTAGTGTATGCAGTGTGTGTGTTGTATTAGTGTATGCATAGTGTGTGTTGTGTTAGTGTATGCATAGTGTGTGTTGTGTTAGTGTATGCAGTGTGTGTTGTATTAGTGTATGCAGTGTGTGTTGTGTTAGTGTATGCAGTGTGTGTTGTGTTAGTGCATGCAGTGTGTGTTGTGTTAGTGCATGCAGTGTGTGTGTTGTATTAGTGTATGCAGTGTGTGTGTTGTATTAGTGTATGCAGTGTGTGTTGTATTAGTGTATGGAGTGTGTGTTGTATTAGTGTATGCAGAGTGTGTGTTGTGTTAGTGTATGCAGTGTGTGTTGTGTTAGCATATGCAGTGTGTGTGTTGTATTAGTGTATGCAGAGTGTGTGTTGTGTTAGTGTATGTTGTTGTGTTAGTGTATGCAGTGTGTGTGTTGTGTTAGTGTATGGTGTTGTGTTAGTGTATGGTGTTGTGTTAGTGTATGCAGTATGTGTGTTGTGTTTTCTTAGTGTGTGTTGTGTGTGTTGTGTTAGTGTATTCAGTGTGTGTGTTGTGTTAGTGTATGCAGTGTGTGTTGTGTTAGTGTATGCAGTGTGTGTTGTATTAGTGTATGCAGAGTGTGTGTTGTATTAGTGTATGCAGAGTGTGTGTTGTATTAGTGTATGCAGTGTGTGTTGTATTAGTGTATGGAGTGTGTGTTGTATTAGTGTATGCAGAGTGTGTGTTGTGTTAGCATATGCAGTGTGTGTGTTGTATTAGCGTATGCAGAGTGTGTGTTGTGATAGTGTATGTTGTTGTGTTAGTGTATGCAGTGTGTGTTGTGTTAGTGTATGCGGTGTGTGTGTTGTGTTAGTGTATGGTGTTGTGTTAGTGTATGCAGTATGTGTGTTGTGTTGGTGTGTGTTGTGTGTGTTGTGTTAGTGTATGCAGTGTGTGTTGTGTTAGCATATGCAGTGTGTGTGTTGTATTAGCGTATGCAGAGTGTGTGTTGTGTTAGTGTATGTTGTTGTGTTAGTGTATGCAGTGTGTGTTGTGTTAGTGCATGCAGTGTGTTTGTTGTGTTAGTGTATGGTGTTGTGTTAGTGTATGGTGTTGTGTTAGTGTATGCAGTATGTGTGTTGTGTTAGTGTGTGTTGTGTTAGTGTGTGTTGTGTGTGTTGTGTTAGTGTATGCAGGGTGTGTTGTTAGTGTATGCAGTGTGTGTGTTGTTAGTGTATGCAGTGTGTGTGTTGTGTTGTGTTAGTGTGTGTTGTGTTAGTGTGTGTTGTGTGTGTTGTGTTAGTGTATGCAGGGTGTGTGTTGTGTTAGTGTATGCAGGGTGTGTTGTTAGTGTATGCAGTGTGTGTGTTGTGTTAGTGTATGTTGTGTTAGTGTATGCAATGTGTGTTGTGTTAGTGTATGTTGTTGTTTTAGTGTATGCAGTGTGTTGTGTTAGTGTATGTTGTTGTGTTAGTGTATGCAGTGTTTGTGTGTATAAATGTGCAAACTAGGGGGGGATGGGCATTTTCCCATTAATTTTTAAAATTTTATATTAAATTAAATTACATGTTTCTCCCCCCTCCCTGCTTACCTGTGTCCAGGGAGGGGGGAGATTCCATCCCTGGTGGTCCGGTGGCATGGTGGGGCCCCTGGCTCCCTGTTACCGCAGAGGGGGCCCAGCACACTGCCTCTACTCTTCTCTTCTCCTCTCTTCCAATAACGCTCGCGAGAGCGTTGCCATGGTAACCGGGTCTCGCGAGAGTTATTAAAAGAGAAGAGTAGAGGCAGTGTGCTGGGCCCCCTCTGCGGTAACAGGGAGCTGGGGGCCCATGGCTGCACACATAGATAGCGATATTCGCTATCTATGTGTGCAGAGAGGAAAGTGGGGCCCAGGACTGCCAGAGCAGTCATGGTTGTCACCCCTTGATGGCGGCCCTGCGACCACTGCCTTGCTAAAAATGCTGAAGGTAAAGGTAATGGCCAAGCGTGTCTCCAGACATAAACCCTTTTGAGTATCTGTGGGGCATCCTCAAACGGAAGTTGGGGGAGCGCAAGATCTCTAACATCCACCAGCTGTGATGTCATTATCAAGGAATGGAAGAGGACCCCAGTGGCAACCTGTGAAGCTCTGGTGAACTCCATGCCCATGACGGTTAAGGCAGTGTTGGAAAGAAATGGTGGCCACACAAAATATTGACACTTTGGGCCCAATTTGGATATTTCCACTTAGGGGTGTACTCACTTTTGTTGCAAGCCGTTTAGACATTAATGGCTGTGTGTTGAGTTATTTTAAGGGGACAGCAAATTTACACCATTGTACAGGCTGTACACTTACTACTTTACATTGTAGAAGAGTGTAATTTCTTCAGTATTGTCACATGAAAAGATATAATAAAATATTTATAATTAAATATTAAATATTCTTAAACGTTCTTATGTTGTGTCTTGGAAAAATTAACTTCTCCTGTGGTCTTCCTGATTGTCCTGATTCATTGGTCTTCCATATTATTTACTTGTAGGGTTGCTTGTAGATCCTAATCTTAATGTGTTTTAAAAAGTAGATGTATTAGTCCATTTATTTGAATGTATTCTTATAGTTTCTTTTATATAAAATGTTACCGTATATTTTCCAGGTTTTTGTACCAGATGAAGAGAAAAGAAAAAAAAAAAAACTTTTGGATGTCTTCATAACTAAATTTATAAAATGTTCTCCTTTTTAGACTTGGTCGTTCCTTTTATCTCCCAATAAGCCTAGTTGGTTCAGTTAAATTTTTGCTCTTTCAGGGGCATCAAAAGTGAATGTTTGATTATCAACTCTGAACATAATTTTTGTCGGATATAGCCATCTATATATTATATTTTTGTTTCTAAGGCATTGGGTACTTTATTTACATTTCTTTCTTTTCAGCCTGGTGATAGGTCTGCAAAAACGTTGATGTTGTTGAAGTGCTATTAAAACAAACAATAACATCTCGTGGTTTGTCTGCAAATGCTGCTTCTTTTGGTTTGGGAATTCTGTGCAGTCTTGCGAATGGAAAATGTCTAAATTTTCTCTTCCTCTATAATGCTTGATATCATTTTATTACAAAAATCTTCCAGTTGGTCGTTATTTATCTCCTCTGGGAAACCCTTGATCCTTTAATTCCTTCTTCTTGACCTGTCCTCCAGGTCTGCTAGCTTTAATTCTGTTTTGTACAGGATTTCCTTTA